TCACTTGCATCTCGTATTCGAGCCTTGCCAACCCCACTGAACTACCGCTCTTTGCTACATACATATCGCTCGTCCTTCCAAAGATCATCGTCATCCATTCTTGAAACAGACCCGAATGATGGCTTGGTTTGATCCGGCCTGAGCTTCCGAGCTAGACGTACGAAGTGAAAGGAAGCTTGAAATAGGAGGCTCAGACCTAATTCGGCTGTGGCGGTCGATGATTTTTTTTGTTCTCAACGCTATCCGGTATAACTATTGGGTACCCTGCCTCCTACTTCGCTGGTTCCTCGAAAGGACATTGACACTCTTATTACGTTTTAGACAAGGGTAGCAGTTTATTCTACTATTACGACAATTACCTGTAGCCCAGTGGCCCTACAACGTTATGCAATTACCCAAGAATCAGGGCTGTCACGACTGCTACTAACGGTTGGACTGCCGGTTTCACACACGCCAGCTTTCGCGCGTGGGTGGATGTCTACGTATGTAAACCTGTAGACTGACCTTTTCTACACTCTCACTAGTTGGCTCTCCCAAATCCTACCTTCACTTGTTCCTGCCTTTGGACGTTTTGCTGCTTAATAACAGAAAGCAGAAGAGGACCTTATGCCGCTTTCAGCATTCGCGCGACGTCCGTGGTGAAAGACGTCGTTCGGATCTAATTATAAGTGCGAAAGTTCATATTATGTACATAAATAAGATCTTCTGTGGTCCCTATCATTTTTCGCCCAAGGCTAAGAACTATCGGAGTAAAGCTCATCGTAAGTGCAGCGAGCATCGCGGGGGCTCCGAACAACTGAGGAAACTATCTAAAGGTGGCTTGCCAAAAATGAATTTCATTTTGCTGATTCGAAAAGGATCAACATGAGTTACTTTTGAAGGAGGACCACTTTGGACGAGCCTACCTTATAACTTTTAGAGATAAAGTGTTTACAGCAATACGACCTGGAGCAAAGCTTAGCGGTAGTACTGGACGTCATAGCTTTTTTTGCCATAGGCTTCTTGTCGTATGTAAAATAAACTTTTGACAAAGAGCTTTCCAGTTACATGTACTACTTGACCACTATCGAACGAAAAATTATAAATAAAAAAACAAAAGACAAAACCGACCATTTCTTATCTAACAAGCCAATATACGTTATATCAATACTTACGATTAGCTGGGGGCGGTCTCAAGAAATTCCTACGTGGACTACTTAATATTAATGAGCTTTCATGAGAGAAAAACCTAGAAGGAAAAATCCCACCCGGCTTTAGAGATCATCAATATCTGATGTTGTCCAAATGATTAACTATAAATTTTGTGTTGACATGTAGATTAATAGAAACCCGTTCATATAACAGTCTACAGGATGAACTGAATTTTCTCTAAGAAACAACTTTTTAAAAAATATTTTATAAATATCGAACTTCGCTTACTCTCTCATTATTATATATTAGTATCTTTTGGATGTTCTGCATCTGACAAACATAACATAGTATGAGGCTGTCGTCTTTAAATATCAACTTCAGTTTTTTTATTGTTTCTAGTACCAATCTACTATAGAAGGCTGGCCCGTGTCGTACGTATAGTCTTCAAACAAAGTTCTAACTTTGTGCTTTTTCGACGTACCGATGCTAGCTAATTATACTGAAATACACGAACTATATTTAATCTAATTAGTTACTTATTCTACTTGGATGTATATCCAATCTGAAGGATAAATGGACAAATGCAACTGCTTCAGTCGAACTACTGCCATTTAATATTCATCTAAGATGACGCAAGTTTGCCTTATTACTCATTCTTACTATACTTTACGGTTGTGTAACTGTCTTTCCGTCTGGTGCACTACGTGTGCATATTTGTACTTCGATTTTCTAAGAAAAAATATTACTTAGCTCTGCGACTCGTATTATCAGGTTATGCTTGTATTCTTTATGGCCACAGACGACTAGAGTTATTTTCGTCTGCTCTACCTGAATGGCAGCCATATCTCGCCACTAAATAGTCTGTCTAATCTCAAATTTAGCTATTGCCCCTTCATGCCAAGCAGGTCTTTTGTCTTCTCTTCAGATAGCCAATGGCTTATCGAATAACTAGCCAGACATCCGTCGAAGTCAAATCCTAAGCTTGATATCGCCTTAATGTCGTAACCAAGAGCGCTAAGGAGCACGTATAGAAAGATATTTCTGCACATACGTCTATCTGTGTGGCGCTAAAATGAGGCGTTGGTTTGTTGGGAGCTTTGCCTCTGCACTGACTGAGCCGGATTCACAGAATTAACGCCAACAACTAGGTCTCGCTGGCTCAGGGCATTTCGACGGACCAAGAGAAAAAATCTTGGTTTGTGAAGACTCCGAACATCAAGCCGCAGTCTTTTTCAAGGCTTCTTAAATCTCCATAGTCTTCACATTTTCTAAAAAAACTTCGTCGTCATACACCTTCGTTGCCGCTGTGGCGCTCATACTCATTTCTTCTTTGCGAACCGAAAGGCTTCTAGCTTAGACTAACTTGGTAGACCCAAAGGGTTGTGTCCGGCCAAGTGGCCAGTGCCATGTCGTCGTTGTTGCCTGATAGGATCCGAACAGCGGCGGCTGCAACGATAGAGTTGGCATTAGCAAGAACAGCAGCAGTAGCGAAGAATATGACAGAATTTTTCATGCAGCTACTCTGCACGAGAGTCCGTTTGTGCACGTTGATACGCCGGAGCCAACAGTATGCCACTATATAGAGTTACAGTCACTGTGAGCACTTTCCTGCATAGCGTCAGGCCTTCGAAGTCTACTATACCACAGTGGTGATCTTGTCTTCGACATCTTTTCAGCCTCTGTTTGCGGACAGCATGATCATTTTCGTTGGTTTCGTCGTCGTCGCCGTGGCTGACGCCACCAACGTCGCCGTGGTCGTCGAAAGTCAGCCAGCGTCAGGAAGACGAACACGCAACCGGCTAACCGAGTCTGGTACAGGCAAAACACATCACAGAAACAGAAAATTCCACTGAAGATTGAATGTGGAAGCAATGCGACGGGACGCCTATAGGCATGATAGAGCGTAAAGACATACGAAAGAAAAAAACCTAGGGAAAAGCAGATAGTAGACAAACAGCTACTTCTAGTGCTACACTGGCTGCCTGCTGCTATCCAAGTTAAGCTACTGTTATTCTCATGAACAAGTCTGGTTTGCTTGACAGAAGCCTGCCACCAAACTACGGCAAGGTTAAGCCTAACAGAAAAATAGGACCGAAGTGAGCTAACCAAAACATAGAGAGAGAGATTTGCTATACTGTATCGCTAGAACTGTCTGTGCGCGTACGTGTATACATTACTGTGTACGATATCCGCTCCATAAGTAGTGTAGATCGTTACTTTTGTCCATGCTTACCGCCTGTTTATCTTTTTCTCTTTTACTTTCTCGTGTGAGCGCTTTTGTCTTGCCTAATCTGCTTTTACATTTTTCATTTCTCCTTCTTCTTCAGAAAAATATTTTCAGAAAGGACTTTCTAGCAGTGATTATTGCTACAACAAAAACAGCAGCAGCAGCAGCAGCAACAACAGCAAGCTTGCGACGATAGACAACGATGCAAATCGAATGGTTTAACAGCGACAGGGTCGACTAGACCGACGTCAACTTCGACGTCGTAGCGACGTCGCGTTTTTAGTATTTCATTCGGTTTCGCTGCGACTTGAGGATGCATTTGTCGGTTATATTCGCGGGTGAATCAAGAAATTCGGACCGCTCATCAACCGCAGGCAACGCTGCGATTCATTAAACGTTTGCCCGTCGAACGTATCAGCAGCACGAAGACAACGGCGATCGGAGCTTAAAGCAATAAAATTAAATGTTTTCAATTTAGATGCCGATAAACGCTGATAACGTTTCGATGTTTGGCGATGACTGGTACTCGGTTAATCCAAATGACTCTCAGAAATCAAGTCCTGCAGCCTCCACTGTTGCCACTGCTGTTTGTTGTTTCCGGCTGTTCGGTATGTTGAATGTACCGGCGAATAGAAAGAACGATGCTGGGCCTGACGATGATGCTGTTCGTCTAGGCTGGTCCAAGATACCTCAGGAGACTGATCTGCCGCCAACGCTGCAGGCCATCGACGCCCGATCAGGCCGCAAGAGGCTATATCAAGATATCACCTCGATACGACCACAAATCAACGCAGATTTTTAGATAGATACGAATGGCTAGGGTTGCACTGGCTTCCTACAGGCGATCGCTCGATCTGTTGTCAGCCACGGCGACGCACGCATTCTGACAGAAAAAAAGAAAGCAGGATCGTCTTAGAGACTTCCTCTTATCTATTTTACGGGTCGCACAGCCGATAGCGGTGATAGGGGATGGCGAGGATTCAAAGCAATAACATCTTCAACAACGTCGGCGTGTTCTGGGGTTCGCTTGACGTGAACACTTATACATCGTACATGTAAATGAACGTGACTGTTGCATTCATATGATATCTCAAGGCGTTTAATCAGGCCTAAATGCCGTATTCAAGAGGCAATCGCAGTGATAATATATTTAGCCCCTCTATCTATTTAAAAGAAAGAGCTTTAGGTTTGACGGGGGTACCAAATCAAAGTCCAACCCAGGAACTTCTGTAAAGGTACGCAATACATATTGCTTGATCAAAAAAATTATAGATATCAATACCTGGTGGATTCATAAAGGTTCGGCTTTTATCGTCTTTTCAAAAATCTAATTAAGGGGAACATTTTGCACACACATATATATATATATATACATACATGTATATATATATATATATATATAGTGTCTAGTCCTATCGGTAAGCACATACAGAAGAAGCGATTATCTCTCGATACAAAACTCGTGAAATCAATTTCGCATTTATTAGAAAAATACAGGTTCAGCTGTATATGAACAGTGCAAGTGCTGGGCGATTTGTTCTATCCTTATAATACATTACAATGAGAAATTGACAAACGTACAGTGATATAGTGCAGCTAGAAAAAAATAATATGCTTATCTATAATAATAACAACGTATATGTAAATATATTATCTAAGTGTTTATTAAAATCAACTACAGTCGCTCTACGACTAATTCTGCACACAAGACGAAAACCAACGTTATGGCTTATGATTTACTATCCGCGGCATATGGTGGTTTTTGGCCATGGGGTCGTGGGCCCAGAATAGCTTCGACATCCTTGTAGTCCATGACCTCCTTTTTAACTAGCTCTTCCGACAGCAGTTTCAGCTTGTCGCTGTTTTTTCGAATTAGCTCAATCGTCGTATTATAAGCATGCTGCACCAGTTGCCATATTCTGTGATCCATATTGTTAGCAAGTTTTTTCGAATAGGGTTTTCGTTCAGTATACGACAAAGGACCAATTGTATTGTCCATGCCGTACTGCTCCACGATGGCCTTGGCAATATCAGTGACCTTCTTGAGGTCATCTTGAGCACCAGTCGAAGGTTGTCCGTACACAATGACTTCAGCTGCGCGACCTCCTAGAGCCATGCATATCTTTTGGAATAGCTGTTCGGTAGTGTATAGATATTGCTCCGATGGAACGTAGCGAGCCATACCAAGTGCTCCCTTGGTCCGGGGAACGATGGAGATCTTCAACAGAGCGTCCGTTTGCTCCATAAGCCAGGCGACAAGTGCGTGCCCGCATTCATGAACAGCGACCCGCTGACGCTCTTCCGGTGACATGGCATGGGTTTTCTTTTCAGTTCCTCCAACGACCCGCTCAACGGCGTACTCAATGTCGCCCGATCCAACAGAGCGTTTCTTTTCCCGAGCAGCGTGAAGTGCGGCCTCGTTACAAACGTTAGCAATATCAGCTCCGCTAAAGCCTGGCGTTAGTTCGGCAAGCCGCTTCGAGTAGACACTCGGATGACTGTCGAGTACGATATCACCAAGGTGTTTCTCGTAGATTTCAATTCGTTCAGCTAGGTTGGGCAGATCGATTACGATGTGCCGATCGAACCTGCCGGGACGGAGGAGAGCCTTATCAAGAATGTCGGCACGATTTGTCGACGCAAGCATTAAGACACCTTCTTTTGTAGCCATTCCGTCCATTTCCACAAGAAGCTGATTCAGTGTCTGCTCGCTTTCGCCCCCAGCCCCTTCTTTGCTGTTATGACGTTTTCGGCCGACGGCGTCAATTTCATCAATGTAAATAATACACGGTGACCTTTTCCGCGCTTCTTTGAACAGGTTTCGCACTCTAGCGGCACCAAGTCCGCCCACCATCTCGATGAACTCGGAGCCGGCCATGGCGAGAAATGGCACTTTGGCTTCGGCGGCGACCGCTTTGGCCAGCATCGTCTTTCCAGTGCCAGGCGGTCCTAGGAGAAGGACACCCTTCGGCATAGTTGCTCCAAGCTTCTTGTATTTGGAAGAATCTTGCAGATAGTCAATAAATTCGGCGAGCTCCTGCTTAGCACCGTGGCAGCCCGCAACATCGGAAAACCGCACCTTGGGCTTCGTCGAGTTAATAGAATGGTCAACAACGGTAAACTGCACACGGCCCATTTGACCAAACATGTCGAATGGGCTCATTTTACCACCTTTGCCACCACCAGCCTTTCGAAGGGCCCTAATAATGAAGTAGATCACCCCGAGGATAATAATCCAGTTGAATATCGGATTTTGCCTATCATATTTTACCGGTACAGATCCGGGAGTTACACCTAACTGGCGCTCAGCTTGGCGAATTCTCGATTCGAATTGCTCTAGGTCAACAATCTTCATCTGATAAACGCGACGTCCGGTAGGCTGACCCTTAATTATAGCTCCTCTGTGCAAATAAATGAGGGCTAACTCGAGATCTGGAAGGACGACCACTTCTTCGACCTCGCCTTTTGCTAACATGTTATGATAAAAGTCATTCCAAGCAACGTAACCCATGTCATCGACATTGTTGGTGCGCATAAGTATCGGGAGTACAAGTGTCAAGGCCAGCGAGATCATCACCATAGTTACGGCGATCCTTCGTAATCGATTTTGGTCGTCATCGTCTTTATCACCGTTCGGGTTATTTTCCTTTTCACTTCCGGTGCTTCTTGACGCGTTTTTCTTATTGGCTTCATCACCGCCTCCGCTCCTGTTGACGCTTTCATCGTTAGGCGACTGTTGCCAGCTATAGCTATGAACCTGTCGAAGCAGCCGTGACGAAATGACCGTGGCCGTAGGAAAACTTCGGTTTAGAACTTGTTCAGCGGCGCGTATCTCCAGGTGGAGCCTTCTATAAGTGGCAAGCGACAAGCCGACAATCCGCTGACGGGGCCGATTCACAAGCAAAGCGTGAACCGTAGGCAGATTTCTTCGCACAGTGGTCATTTTAACGATTTTATGTAGTTTGCATCGGGCTAATAAGATGCCTTTTGTTCGCATACTGAAAGATCACAATTAACTTTGACCCGACTAGGTCACAAATTCGAACATAAATACACCCGACATGATAGAACCATTTATGAACGGCGAATGAAACCAAAACAAAACTGATGCAGCTGTCAACATGAGGAGGGTCGAATCGGCAGTGCGCCAAAGCGAACCGCGATTGAGCATCGCTGATGTGTTAACACTGGCTGTCGCTCCCGTAAGGCTCGTCCCGATACTGCATTGTACTACAGGATAATATTCAGCGCTGTGGCAATTTGCAGAAGCTGTGTTAATCTGTAAAGTGGGCTCTGCGTCTTGCGATGCGATGACTACACGTAGCGTTATGTGTTCGCGCCTGCGGCTAAATGCAGAACGAAATGACACTAAAAGTGCAGGTGACTGGTGGGTGTACAAATGCAACGGGGAGGTTTCCCAGCAATTTCAGATATGCAGAAGGACTGGAGGAGGCCAAATGCAATGTAAGACAAGTAGATTGGTTAAGATCAAATCCTCTAGATTCCGGAAAGCACGCTGAGGGCCGCTTAGGGTTCACGTTTGTAGGTGGTCTATGTGAGTCTAACCTGCTGCTGGAGTCAAGGTCATGTACGTGGCGGTCATGTACCTCAAAGGCGAGCGAAAGCGAATGCACGTGTGCCTTTGTTGGTCTGTTTTTTTGTGTGTGTGTTTATGAGTTACTTATGGGATGCAATATATTGAGGTTGCGGGAAACCATCTTTTATCGAAGAAAAAGAGTAGCCGGACCTGTTTTTATTTATATATTTGCCTAGATAAAAAAAATCGGTATGTGCCGGGTTAACTAAATAAAACGCGAAAAAATAAATTTTAATAATTATAAAAATAATTTGTCGAATCTGAAAGACTACAGCAAATTATACCGATAGAGAAATACTAACGATAAAATAAGTAATACGCGTTACTCTGATTGACAAAGTTACTTATTATATAACGCTCGAATAGTCATTTAGAACCGTGGCTGCAAGTAGATTCTACCATTAGGTTAGCACAGGAGGATGTGTTTTTTTAAATTTCATCATAATAAATACTTGAATAAGTATTTATTAAAGTATTATTAAGTCCCTTGAAGGAGGACCCTAAATAGGAACAATGTTTTTGGCTATTAACAAAGTACCGCCCCAATCATGTTTGATCTATTAATAACACATTTATTGAGCTTGATCCCCTTTTGAAGCTACGCAGCATCTTCCCGGCTTTATTTATAGGCCGCAGCTAGCGAAAAGGTCAAACTAATGTAGAACAATCGAACGCCTTAAATATCCCTTAGAAAAGCCTAATGTCTGGATATTTTGAAATAAATAAGGTATCTGGAAAGTTGTACACAATTGAGTCGTTTTAATTTTTTGTCGTTTTTGCAGTAACGTGCGGTAACGCCACATTTTATTTCGACAACAATTCTTGAATGCGTGTTTTCACTTTACCTATGCTAACTATTGGACTCAAAATGTTTTTATGCTATTATATTTACTTAGATAATTATTGACACATTTCCAAAAGACTTGTTCCATGGTTCTGCGATTACTGCGATGTATAGTAACCGTAGAACATGTTTATAAATATTCCGCATAGTCATAATGAAAAAGCTGATTAAACGGTACGAAGTAAAAACACCATTTAAAGCTATTGCTTATATTTGTTAGCACTGTCCGTGTTGAGAATGTTATTTTTATTTTTATGACTTTCATTGATATTTTTAGGAGTGCTATATTTCTTGTCATTTTTTCCTATATTTCTATAACGAAACCGTGGTTGTGGATAGGCGTTCTATGCAAAAATCTCCATCAAGATTTTTTGAACGGTTCTAGTTCAAAAAAAAAAAAGCTGATATTGCTCTTTGTGCCGAGTCGACACCCCTGTACAATTGACTGTATGGATACGCAGATAGAGGGGCTCGAGGAAACGTCAGCACGAAGACGTTCACTCGCTTATTTATGAGCCATCTTAACATCTACGTTTAATCTGCACTAACGAACGCATACCGCCCACGTGTCTCGCAGCCATGACGTTGCATCAATTACTCTCGAAACTTTCACAAAATAACATGCTAGTTTCCTTTAGAGGTGGTAAGTTCCGCGATATATTAGTCTGTAATGAGCCGAAAGCAGTTCAAGTCGTATCATGGAAAACGTCATCCTTACGAAGACGTCCGGAGCGACATTTTGAACAATCGTAACTGCATAGAAATGACTCATTGGTCTGCGTCTTTTCTATCGGTTGGATTACTTACCAGTAGCTAGTAAATTTCTTTGTCTACTGTGAAATTCGTTGGCCGGGGTGTATTTTTGACGCGGTTTGTTAAGTAATAATTCGATGTAACCCTTTGTTTCTAAGCCTGATCAGTTGAAAATTCTCGACACAGAGCCGACGTCGGTTGCCCGTACGGTCATGTTCATAAAGCGTTTGCTCGCGTACGAGGTAAAGGCTAAACGCATCGTTGCCGTAGGTCGTGAGCGAACTAACAACCAGCTGATGTTATACTGAGAGTAAAACGTTTACTACGTCAGTGGTGCATATGTACAACAGAATAAAATACAAGTACATCGCTAGTATAAAAACAATGCTTCTATATAATCCGCTCGCTTGTTTTTTTATTTTCAAAGGAAGCTCACGTGCGCTAGGACATTTATTTCACTTACCAACCACGTGTCGTCTTGTACATAATTATATATGTAATAAGAAATTAAAAAACGGCTGAAATGATGGGTGCCACCAAACTGCGTGAAAGTGAACTTAGTCTTCGTTGGCTGCTTCTGTCATGTTTCATGCTCATGCCATAATATTAATTACGTATCTAAAGATTACAATAGTCTTCAGTAACTGTTTCGGGTGATAGCAGCGGTCCGAAGTCGCCAGCGTTCAGCAGAGCACTGATTCGCTCAGTAGAACGATCCGTTTTGAACTATTTTTGCAAAAAAAACAATCCACATAAGCAGACAGATAATCGTAAATGTTACCCGACTTTCGTTTCTATGGTGCTCCGATGTTTCATTTCTGTTGTTACCGGCTGGCTGTCCAAAGCTACATATGGCGGTTTGTCGACCGCGTGCGGAAAACGTGTCGGCGTGAAATGTTAGCTAAGGTGATTTCTATGGAGGACTTCACGTGTTTGGTGACTCACTAACAGATAGGGCGACGCAGAGTTTGTGCGACTACCGTTTACCAGCCATTTCTACTGATCGGCCGTTCAAACGATCATAACAGTAGAGAACAAAAAAGGCAGTGTTAAATTGTGACGACCAGCTATCGAATATACTATTAGTCAGATCCTGTGACGATAATGGGAACCAACTCGTACGGCTCCACTGAGCCTTAATCGATGGATTTGTCCAGCGTAGTTAGTTGATTTGGAGCATGACAACGACAACGGCAACGGCAACGGCAACGGCAAAAACAATCGTACGGATAAACAGCATTCAGATCGATTTAACGATACATAAATATCAACCGTGAGCGCTTGCGCAAAACTACACACAAGGTCGTCCAGTGAAAAGAAATTGTTTACCGACGCTCTGAAAGTACGGCCAAATGATGACCATATGACACTAATTATCTCATGGCAATATTTGATTATTTGTGCATTTGTTTTTATGCACACGTATACATTTAATCGAATTAGAAATTTGAAGTTTTGTGTTACGACGGCAAAACGGCGACACACATTGTGGTCTGCTCCGATTATCTTAGCGGACACGCGCTGTTCCCACAAGCACTTTAATCGCGTCAAATTCTACCCTATATATCTGCTAGTTTATTATATACATGTAAGAAACCACTCGCTCTCACGCCCAACGGCTGCCGGCGGACGTTCTGCGAAATCCTGCGATCAAGTCATTGGCTTAAACCACAGTTTTCCACAGGAACGGCCAGTAGGATAATGTTAATATTACACGTTTGCGTAAATAAAATCCGTAAGCAATGAACTCGACCGAGTGCTTTTACTGTTGTCGAAAATGGTGTAAACCACTTTGGGCAGCCTGGCCGTTTCTGCGGTCGTGTGTGGCCACAGAACGAGATGCCTATGGCTAACCATTTGATCAGCGCCTTTTAAGCCTTCAACTAATACTAAACGATATCAACCGTAGTAGCTATATTAATCTCCGACTGAACTTGACATCCGAATTTTTTGAACGAAAGTACGGATAGTGTTACAGCTTCATTTAAGGCCTCGTTCCTGGCCGCAGTAGAGAATTTAGATCATTCTTTTGCGACCAGTGTCATTTTGCGGTAGGCATATCCTGTTAACTTAAATAGAACGCCCTATTTTCGCGCTAACTTTCAGTTGCTTTTACGCTCGTTCAGCTGCTCGTATAGAGCAATTAAACGAACAACAATAGTGTAGCCCAATTTTATTTCGATATCTCACATTTTCCACCTCCGCTATTCTATTACACTTAATTTTTGGGCAGCTTTTCCATTCCGTCCTTTTCTGTTCATTAGGTAGATCATAATAAGAAAATATATGTTGATCTCTGCATTGTTCCATCCGGTTTACCGGGTTAGTACCGGCTTGCCGGACATTCCCCGAAACGCGGCATGCAATAGGAAAGCCCATTCAAAGAGAGCATATTAGAAATTCGGAAAGAGGAATAGCGTCGTATCGAGTGAGTGATATAACTACTCGAGACACCTTCAAATATTGCAACCTAGACATTAGGGAAGGTGTACAATTGAATTTTATTAAATTCTGCTATATATATTAAGTCTGCTGTATAGACTAGTACGACTCCCCGACCGCAAGCCTCGGAGTTCCTACATCAATTACTGTTAGTCTAACTAAGATAATAATGAGGTATCTGATGCATCGGCACGCTTGTCAGGCCCGGTGCGCTTATTGCAAAAGTAAATAGGCCGATTATACTTTGTCTGCTTCTACAATCTACAACCAAAGTAAGTTCGTTATGTACGCCAAATTCGTGTTCGTCATCGAAACTGGAATCTGAGATGTTACGGTACGCGGGGGGGGTGTGGGCTATTTGGGTGCGCCGGCTAACCCCTCGGCAGTTACGCTTTAATGGCCTCAAAGCCATTTACGTGATATTTTAATTATAACGTCAACGATTTGGCATTATCGACTCACTGATGGACCAATGTGGAACCTGGGGCACTTTAATGCGTAGATAAATCGGATCGCTCGTCAGTCAGCCATAACTGGTGCAAGTATTAGGAGTGTTTTTTTAAGCAATAGTAACAATAAACATGAAGAGTGATTTCCCATATAATAATTCCATTTCAAAATAAACGTGATACGGCGTTAGGCCCTCCATGGTAAAAATCTACCCGTTAGGCACAGCTACCTTTGGCTACGGATATTCTTTTTAGATAGCTTGCAGAACTGCTAGGTATGACAAACGATGAGAAAGTCTATTTATATACAAATATTAGAAGAATCTCTTTGTACCGCTCGCGCCCAAATATTACAAAACATGTATAATATTAAGTAAATAATGAAAAATTCCAGCCGCTTCAAAGGTGGCGTCGTACATGGTCGTATCTTGTCGTAACGTTAAGCGTTACGGAAACTCGTAGCCAAGCGCAGCTCAATAGCAAACGAGTGCGAAGTAACAACAACGAAAAACATCAGCTGCAAATACTAACAAGTCTGATGGAAAACGTCCAGGGTCATCTTTTCCTAGCTTTA